ATGGACAAATGTTATTGCCTTTTTGCAGGTGGGGTGGTGGGAAAGATGATAAGTACTTAGCCAGGATGGGGAAAAATGATCTCTGTCTACGAAACAGATACTTTCTCACTTCTTGACAATAAAGTCTTTGAAGGTTGAAAATGTAAAGGATGCCTGCGGGTCCCCCATAGATTCCACTTCTTGCACTCCTTTTTCTTGAAGTAGGTGGTGGGAACCAACCAGCTAGGGTAAGTACTCCACACCTTCTTGCCTATGTGTCGTCACTATTACATGGCTACTTATATTGAATGGGATCACCATGATTTTTTGCTTAGGAAAAGATTCATGTGCTAAACGGGGTTTCAAAACCATGAAAGCTGACAGGGATAGACCTTCCAAAACATTGCTGAATGCATTTACACCTCAGTTGAAGGTTTGTTGCATTCTACATAGACTTATCTGTTTCCTGCTAAACATTCACGTTTCAATTGTAAGCCACAATTACTCACCTTGGAATTTAGATATTAATTTTCTCTCTTCAATTGTTTCTTTACATAATTGAATGATCGGTGCTCAAGGTTGGAGGGTCACAGTTGAGGAAGAAGAGGAGGTTGCCAAAGATGATAGGAAGAGGAGAGCTATCGATCTGGTGGAGCATGAAGGTCGTTAATGGTGTGCGTTGCCAAGTTGATGGTTGCAATTCAATCTGAGCGATGCCAGGTCGTACTACCACTGACACAAGGTCTATGAGTTTCATGCCAAGGCTGCAGTGGTGCTTTTGGGCAGATTCAAACTTGTTTTTAATACTAGAGGTTTTTCCTAGCATCTGATTGAGTATTAAGTCCTTATCAGATGTACAATTTGCACCTTTCTTATGTACAATTTACACCTTTCTTTTCGTCATTTTTAATGCTCATAAGAAGTTTATTTAGCAATATAAAGCTACAATTGTTGTTTTTTGTTGCCACTGAACCTCAAATTAATGACAGGCTTGTCACACTTAAATGCATTATATTTTATAGAATCATTGGCATTTTGATGTTGTGTAGAATGTAGAATTGAATTTGGAACTATTTTATTCGCATGTTTGTTTTCTGCTGTTTCTAATATTTTTATTGCTAGACTGGTACATAGTCGAATAAAAGAGATTTCAAAGTCTTGGGGTGCGTTCAAGTTTGACACGGATAACAACTGGCACAATGATTTTCTATGCTTCAGTTCCTTGTAATGTATCTGCTCTTGAGCTAACTCATTGCTACTTTGTTAAGAACTTCTACAGCCGGTGTAAAGGAAGAATTATTGGATCCTTTTGCTGGTGATCCCAAATGGCATTGGAACTTATCAGCCTTGTCTCGCAGTGACTTCCATGACACAGTTTAGGTAAAGTTAGAGGGCATGCTACGTGAAAATCCAATTTTTGCTTTAGTATAGATGATTCAAAGGGGCTTCCAAAGTCGAAACATTTTTTTGAGTTTGAAGACTGTTTGTCTTTATATCAATAATTACGTTAGCAAACAAGGAAAATACAAATTAGTCTACAAATTTAAAATTTCATGCTTGGAAATTTATATTGTATGGCTATTGGGATACTGAGAGTAAAAATAGGTTCATGTCTCAATGTATTGTAAAAATGGTATCTGCAGGAAGATGATAGTCAAAGTTCTATACCCTGTTTTTTATTACTGTTATTATTTTTTTGGGAAAGGTGAGACTAATACAAGTGAAAGTTCTATACTCACGTGGTGCTATTTTTGGTTTGCTTTTGTTCAATGTTGCTTCAATTAAACTTGTTCACTGTTGCTTGGCCTATATTAACTATTTGTCGGTCTCACATGTGCAGCATCATGAAATTCTTCCCCTTGTTGTAAAGACTCAATAACAGTGATGCTTCTTAAGATGCCACTAAGGGTGAAATGTCCAGACTATGATCCTGTATGTCACTTGCGTAAGTTCTTGTGTCATATTATTCTTCTACATTTTGACATTCTTGTAAGATATATATCACTCTATTTTGGCTTCCAGCTTTGATTCTTTCTATATGTAAAGTTGGTTTTGGAACAAATTATAAAAAGGGATAGTTCATAATTACGATGAACATAATTTGGTACTGATTAGAAGTGTCAATACTTTTGAGAGTACATTACTCTTGGCATAGACTAAAAATTAACAAAAGGCCGTGATCTTTCATCCGCTTGGAAACACATAGGAAGGATAGTGTCCTTGGATAGCTTTCTAAAACTATATGATATGTCAACCATCATGGGATGGCTCAAGTGGTCAATAAAGGCCTTTGTAAATCCTAAAAGACTTAGAGGGAATGAGTTCAAACCATGGTGGCCACCTACCTAGGATTTAATATCCTACGAGTTTGAGGTGCGCGCAAGCTGGCCCGGACACACGGATTTAAAAAAAAAAATGATATGTCATATGTGCTTCTTCTTCTTCTTCTTTTTTTTT